ATAGAATAGGAAGAGCAATAAGAGCTGCCCTGGTACAAGTACATCTCAAAGAGAATTATATGTGGTTAACTCCAATGTTAGGACAACTTAGTAGAAAGGCTCCCTTATGCTGAGAAGAAAGGAATCATTCCTCTTCCCATTGGCCTAACTCTACTAAATACTTGGGATGGACACCACCTGGGCACACCATAACTTCACAGGTCAAAGTCTGGGCTACAACAGACTGGTTTAATCGCCTTGGAATTAGACCCGTGGCACTCACTGGTCCGGTGCAAACCAAGTTGTGGCACTGGCTTCCCCTGGATGGACAGGGAGATGCGCACTGGAACTTGTGTGGTTACAAGGCAAGAGTGTCAAAAATATCAACCAACCTGCAAACTTTCCCTGCCCACAACATCAGCAGCCTAGATGCATGTTTCGCTGGTATGATCACTGCCTTCTATCTTGACCCCTTCCCCAGGATTAGAGAATGTCATGAGCACACACGGAGACTTTGACTGACTATACTTAATGTGCCTTGATGACACCACAGCTGGTCTGTCTCCTAAATGAAGAAGTGAAAGTAGCAAGGCAAGCCAGCCTCCCAAATCCGATGGCATTGTGTAGCAGCACACGGGGCTACTTGTGCAATTGTAAAAGCTGGATGTTGCAAGTATATTCCTGATAGTCTGCTAATATCTTCATGGCTATTCAAGATATCAAATGACAGGATAATGCCATGTCAGATTCTGAAATTCTGTAAGATCTTCTCCTTACCCCCTTTGCGGGAGGCTATGACTGGATCTTTCTGGTGGAAATATTTGTTGGTTGTATTTATAATGGTTGTGTTGGTCTTATGACTTGGCCCATGCCTACTTAACTGTTTCTTTGGCCTTATGTCCTCAGACTCAAAGCTCTACACTTACCCAAGACGAGAACACCTGGCATCTATTGAGGGCCTTTAGGTAGACCCTCTGTAGAGTATCGCTGACTGCTAATCACAGCTACAACTCCCCCTCCAGCCACGAGTAGCCAGAATGGCCATCACCCCTTTCCTCCTCACATCAGTTAGGGATACCTCTTCAGAGGAGGGAATATTATAGGCAGCTAAGTTAGATAGGAACATTATAGGCAGTCAGACAGAGCTAGGCCTTGGAAGGAGTCAGTGCAGAAGACAAGAACACATTACAACTGTGGCTAGAGGTGCATTCATTGAAGGCCAGGCCTCAAGATAAAGATGGAACGACTAGGCCTGCATACTTCTCCAAGGGATAAATAATATACTATAATTGGTATTTACCTAATCCAATAAAGTCTAGATAGGCATCAGTCACTCACATGGGTGACCAGAACCTCTCAATTCATCTCTTCCAAAAAAAGATTCTTGTTTTTTTTCGTGCACACTTGCTACATGACCTGCTTCCCCATTGGATTAATACCACCTCAGCCACTATACTTGTAATGTTATCAGTTGATCAAAATTTTGTCCCACATTGTAACCACCTCATGATTTAGTTTTCCAAAACTTCTTCTGTAAAGTGGGCTCATTGGCAACCCCACTTTCCAGGTCCTCTCCTGTCTCAGGAGCTAACTCTCAATAAAACTTACCTACTCTTAATCTCCACTGTTCCTTAGAATTCATTCTTCGATTTTGAGAACACGCACTCAGCATATGGGACATCTAGCAGGTTGGGAGTTACATTATTTTCCCTGTATCATTTGGAGGTCCTACATCAGCACTGCCACATGTCTGCCTGTCTGTCTCTCTCATCTTTCTGAAGTCTGCATGTCAAAAGGGGAGTTTCTCAGGGTGGTGAACTAACTGAATCAAGTTTTCTGTAACAAAGAATTTGGGAGCTCCTTTGCCTGTGTTAGAAGCCAGACTTTCCGGGGCCTGTTTCTGGGTGGTCTGCCACTTTCTGGGTGTATAAAAGGGCACCTGAAGAGCCCCGGAGGTGAGGATCTCGAGGGACAGCAAAGTGAGCCTGGCCCCTCGTCCTGGATGCTTCTGTCAGTTTATCCTGGGACCGGGCCAGAAGCCTCTCTGAATCCTCACAGGAAAAAGGAAGTGAAGACAGCTGGCTGGGCATCTGAGGGACTTCCTGGGGGAGCTGGAACCATTTGGCAGCTAAAGGAATTCTCCAGAAAAAGAGACTAGACCTTGAGGAGGGGAGTTTAGAGGAGCCAGGTCAAGTGTCTTCTGGGGGAGGTCAGGGAGTTGAAGGAGAAGGGAGTGCAGTATAGAGGGTGCAGAAGGAGAGTTTCCAGTGAATCTGGTTCTAACTTTCGTTCTAACTCTCATTTCTATGGCTTTTTGGTTCTGTTTTTTAGCCTTAACTGTGGCGTCTCAGTCCAGCCTTTTTCCTTGTGGGTTCCCTGTCGGTCTGATCCTGCCGCGGGTACCGGGGAGATGGTCGCTGGGCACAACAGGGCTGCATTCGTGTGTTCACAGCCAGTCTGCGGGATCTCGGCAGCCACGCGTGGTTTCCAGGCTGAGTCAACCGTCCCAGGGATGCTGCAAGTCTCCTGAAGTGCACGCAGGAATCCGGTCCTCAGGGTCCAGAAAGGTCCCTCCCAGAGACGGGGAGAACAGCACAGACCCTCCTGCCACAGCCAGCTAAGGGTGGTGTTCGCTGAAAGGCATCTCAAGGTTCCCGTAGGCACGGCAGGCCCAGTGCTGCCCATCTGTGACCCTGGGCTGAAGCTGCGGGGTCGAACTTTCCTGGCACCAGCCAAGCAGTGGCACTGGAGATGACACAGGCCTCTTACGGACCAGGACCTCATGAGGACAGAGCCCCTGGCGAGGGTGGGCAGAGAATGTGTCCTGTCACTTCATGGGTCAGGCTCCCCGCCTGTGGTACAAGCTGCCTGATGGGAGGGGACACTTGCACCCCATGGCTAAGGACACCAGAGAGGTCATTGTCCGTGATGCTAAAGCCACTCTCTCTGCTCTCAGGACATAAGGCGGAAAGAGGAGACCTCAACCCAACATCCATCCTCCTTATGACAAAACACAGCAGGGGTGAAAGAAAACAGTTACTGTCACTGGAGGGGAAGGGATGGGCAAACAAGAGTTCTCATATAACACACACACACGTGCACCTATACACACACACGCGTGCACATACGATGACACACACACACACACATGCACCCACATACACGTAAATATGCACAAACTCCAAAGTTGCTCTGCAAGATCTAGTTTACACAGGAATGTTTCCTCCCGCCAATTAGAATTTACACAGTGAAAAGGCCAGGTGCGGTGGTCGCTGCCCTTTACCGGCAGAGATCTGGGAGTCTGGCTTGGGGTGCATTCCCAGCTCTGGGAATCCTGCCTCCGCTGCTGCAGCCTAGAGTGTGTGGGTCAGTAAGGTCCCTCAGGTCGACACAGTCTAGGGAGGGTAATGTTGTTTCCTTTCGCCCTTCCCACTTCCTTGGCTGGTCTTCGAATTAAATTGACATAAGACAGATTAAAGGAGGCAAAGCATTTTCATTACAAAAGTCAGCGTGGGAATCCCACAAAAACAGGGGTTGTGTGTGCCTCACCCTGAGCCTCAGAGAGGAGGGGTGGGTGGGGTGTGTGTGTGATGGGAAGAGATTCCGAGAGGCGGTGGGAGGGAGCCAGGTGGTGGACAGAAGCTGCCTTGTTAGGTGACAAACGCTGTCTAAGTAATTCCTTCCCTGCCGCAGATCCCTTTACTAATGGACATTTCTTTATAACAGGCAACTTTCCAGAGAGACTCCTGTGTCGGGCAGGTTTTTGAAACAGTATGCCAAAGAGCCATATTTTAGGGTAACATATTCTGATTTCCTACACTCATGTATTGGAAGTATATCCTGAACCCTAATAGCACCTACTCTTGCCTCTGCCTACAAGGCCTTGTGTGTGTGTGTGTGTGTGTGTGTGTGTGTGTGTGCGCGCGCGCACGCCTGCGTGTGCTAGTGACTAACCCCAGAGCCTTTGCCCTGAGCCACATCCTCAGCCCTTTTTATTTTGAGACAGGGACTTGCTAAATCACCCTGCTCCAACTCACAATCCTCCTGCCTCAGCCTCCTGAGTGCTGGGATTAGAGGCCTGGCTTCTACGAGGTTGTTTATCCGGGTATTCATGTGGGTCCATCTCCTAGCTCTCACCAAGTCTCTGCCTTTGGAAATGTCCCACCCTCCACCCTACCTCCTACCACCACCCCTTTCCTTTGTCCTCACAGCAAATCGTTGTGTCACGAGTGAGGCCCTGTGTTCCCTTCTCTGCTCCCACCCTGGAACAGCAGTGTAGTGAGAGGGAGAACTGCTCTGTTTTGTCTGTCAGTGTTTCCATGGCTGTGAGAGTAAGCACAGGTTCTTTACCGTGGGCTCTGTTGGTCCAAACACCCAGGTGCTGGGTGAGCCCTTGGGAACAGGAGCTGGACACACGAGGGCAAAGGGCAGCCAAGGCAAGTTCCCCCCAGGGACCTCCAAAGCATGTGGCCTGTGACCTTGACTGATCACACCCTATCCTTCCTAGCCTCAGTTTCCACACTTGTAGGATGTTTGGACCCTGAACTGGGGTCAGATTCTCCTGCCCTACCTTGGCCTCTGTAACCAGTGATTGCCTCAGGGTGAGCCCCACCCTGATGACAGGTGTAGATGAGCTTACTGTCCTGCCAGACAACGCAGACTGGGGGTGGGGACAGTGTGGGCTGGACCCCCATTGACTCCTGCCCTCTGTCCTCACCCCAACCCATGCCAGTGGCTCTGCACCCCCATGCTTCTCAGCCCAGGCTCCGCTGAGTTTCCTGGAAAGATAGCCATCCTCGCTGCCAGGAGCACAGTTTCTCAGGGTTCTGGGTACGGCTTGTGTTGCAGTCCCTGCACGTCTCTGACCTTGTCACCCATGCTTCCCTGGCTGCCGGAAAGCAGCTTTGAGGAAATTAACTGACCTTCTGTTTCCTTAAGGTCAAGAAAACACCCTGGAAAGCTTCGGGGGGAGCAAGCACTGGGTGGCCCACGCCCAGGTAGGCCTGCCCAGCTGCGCCTCTGCCCACTGGTGAGTCCATTCATGTTGAGAGCTGGAGATGAGCCGGCACCTACTGTATGCCAGGCCTGGGTAAGGTATGTGGCATTGGTGAAGGGCAGACACCAAGGGTTGGCACCATGAGAAACAACTTTGGGTAAACTGAGGCTGGGGTGCCGAGGGTCCTAGTGGGAGCTACCTCTGAGAGTCCCACCCCTGTCTGCTCATCTCCACCCAGGGGCTCCAGGGCGCCCCAGGACAGGGGTACCACCCTGTGAAGGTGGTTTAAAAAGTGTCTGCATGGCCCGTCCTGCAAAAACAAACAAAAACACACAGTGCTTCTCTATGTCTCTCAGCCCTGGGTGTGCAGCTGGCTCTCAGCCACCTTGGACGGTTGGGCAGGCTGTGCACTGCACAGCTGGGGTCCAGAGTGTCTGGATGGAGACTCAGAGGAGACGGGGCTTGAGCTCGGCTCCTGGATGATGTCTGGTAAACATCGGTTTCCTTCCTTCTGGTGTCTCAGCTTTGCCCTTCTATTCACTGGCTCTGGGGTCAGGGAGCTGGCAGCTCCTGTCAGGGTCCTCCCGTCATCCTGCTGTGTACAAGCAGGGCCAGTGGAGGCTGGGGCTTCGATGGGGCTGCAAGGCCACAGCCCTGGCTCTTTCCTGCTTCCTTGTCCCGTGGTCCTCTCTGGGCTTGGCCCAGGCCTGGAGCTCTGCCTGACCTGGGGAGTGTGTGTGTGTGTGTGGTCAGTGTTAAGGAGTTGTAGAAAGGTGCAGGGACTGTGGTACTTCCCGCTGTCTACCTCCTGGGCCCCCGGTGGCTGGGGTAGGGGGGATGAGCAGGCCCAGACCGGGAATTATTGACCCTTGTCCTGTCACTCAGCACAGTACCGTGTAACCTGGGGCAGCAGACCCGGAAGGGGTCTGTCGTGAAGATCTGCTGTCCCAACAGGACACCTAGGGGCACAGCGTACACACCAATGTCCTCCAAGGCTGGAAGTGACACCCACTGACCCCACGACAGACAGGAGCAGGTGAGGGGGGTGTTTGGAGGACAGGAGTTCTGGGGGTCCAGGCAGCGGCTGTGGCCCAAGGAGTAAGTGGAGCTGACAGTTGGGGACTCTGTCCACCGGGACAGTTGTCCCAGCCAGGAAAGAGGAGGTGGCCCGGCATGGGCCTGAATAGAGGGTCCCATTGTCCCCAGGGGAGCAGCTGCCACGCTCTCGGCTCAGCTGATGGGGCTCAGGGTGGGGCGGTGAGGTGGCTCCCGGCTGTTTCAGAACAGCTGCTCCAGGAGGGGCTGGAAGGAGGTCAGGAATAAATGCCCGGCAGAGGCCACAGAGGACGGAGGGAACGCTGGAGAAACCACAGTCCCCGGGCCGCTGGGGGAGGGATCTAACCACGATTGAGCAAGGCCCTGACCAAGAAAGCAAACACATTTTTTTTTACAGAGGAAGCAGAAGAGGAGCCCAGATAGACGGTGGAAATGCCAGGGCAGCGGTTAGGAAAGCGTTGGGTCATAAATGTGGCCGAGATGTTTGTCCCCACCCCCCCCAATAATTATAAAATTCAACGTGACTGCATTCAAAGACCCAGCAGTGCTTCCTGTTCGTTTTTTTTCCCTCTCTGGGTTCTGGGTCAGCTGATCCCACAGTTGTGTGGGAGAAGTGAGGACCCAGAATAGCTGGATCAACACAGAGGGTCAGTGAGAGGCCTGGACTCCGCATCCCTCTGGCAGCGCTGCTGATACAGGAACTGAACTGGTGTGATGAGGTGCAGACAGACAGTGGCACAGGGACAGGACAGATCCAAACAGACCCGAGGATGCGTGAGAGAGGGACCAGGGGAGCTGCTGGTCTGTGGAAAGGGACGCTCGGGGCCAGAAATGGGGCTGAAAGCAGGTAGAGCTGTGCTCCCTGTAATCCCACCTCGTTGGGAGGCTGATACAGGAGGGTTGCCAAGTTCAAGGTCAGCCTGCCCTGCATAGGAAGATTCTGACTCAAAATAAAAATTTTAAAAAGGGGGCTAGAGCCGGGCATGGTGACGCAAGCCTGTAATCCCAGCACTCGGGAAGCTGAGGCAAGAGGATCGCTGTGAGTTTGAGAACAACCTGGGCTACATAGTGAGTTCCAGGTCAGTCTCAACTACATAGTGAGACCCTGTCTCAAA